TAAGAATAAGAAACAGCTAGGAATGGTGGTGGCCAAGTGCACCTTTAATCCTAACACTCTGAAAGCAGAGGCAGGCAGATCTCTGTGAGTTCAAGGCTAGCCTGATCTACAGAGCGATATCCAGGGCAGTCAGGGCAACATGGAGAAAACTTGTGTCAAAAACAAGAACAAAAAACAGAACAAGAAACATACTATTGAGAAAGAAAATTGGGGTCAAGCCAAGCCAGGCCAGGCATAGTGATATGCACTCAGGAGGCCAGCATGGTCTACAAGACAGCTAAGGCTACACAAAGAAATTCTATCTCAAATTAACACATACACACAGACACAGACACAGACACAGACACACACACACCCTTGTAGTGGTGACATGCACCTTTAATTCCAGCACTTGGGTAGAGGTAGGTGTGTGTTTATCTGTGATTTCGAGGCCAGGGCTACACAGTGGTCTTGACAAACCAAAAATAAAAAATAATAAAAAAAAAAAAAAGAAGAAGAAAACAAAAGAAAGATGGATGGAAGAAAGGGAGGGAGAAAAGGAAAGGAAAGAAAGAACATTCCAGAGATAAGGAGGGGGTGTGCTGCAGAAGGAGCCCATGAACCCTGGGTCATAAAGAACACAGTCCTTCACAGAATGTGTACTTAGCACCTGTTGTTCTCACATCTGTGCACCCCAGCCTTTTCTTGTGAGTGCTCTGTTTATTCGTGTAAATGGGCCAGAACTTGCTCAGTTTACTGCATGAAAGCCCAGGGGCAAACTTCCAGTCTCTCTACAAGCTGTCTTTTTTCATGTTAATCTTGGAATTTCAGGCTCTAGGACCCACTAGTTACTTGCCAAAGGTGGAGTAGGTTAGGGCTGGAGACATCGCAGGGCTGGTGGTCACAGGCATTTTTAAGGGACTGGTAGTTGATCCTCATTTCTTCCTAAGAGACAGGGTCCAGAAGACCTGGAGAGTGTAAGAGGACAGACCAGAGCCTGATAAACGTAAAGTGACCAGCAGGTTGTGCCATTGTCAAGCACAAAGTTTCAAGGAGGCCTATCCTGAAAATCGGTCCTACCTGGGGTTGGGGGGGGGGGGTTCTGGACAGTCAAAGATCCCAGGATTCCAGACACCCGCTCTAAGCCAGCAGGATCGGCCAAATGCTCCCAGGAGCAGTAAGTTTCCAAAATCTTTTCTCCACCAGATGTGTGGGCTGGCCTTGATCCCTGACTTTGGGGGTCTGTGTACTCCAACTGCGCCTGTTTAAACCAAACACTCAGCACAGCAGGGTTCAGGAATGGGGTTTTGGCCCAAGTCTGTCATGCCCACACCCATCCTGAACACGGCGGGGCTCTGTGCCTGGGCCAGGCTGTACAGGGTCCTGTTTTCCCTGGAAAAGAAAGGGCAGCTGGACAAGACCCCTAGACATCTGATCGCTCACCAGAGGCAGTGATTGAAGACGGGTGCTGTGACAGTTTGGGGGGCCTCGTGGGATCCTCAAGTGAGGCTCGTACTGACCAGGACAGTGGGGGCACACTGAGAATCTAGAGATATTAAGAATACCTTTAGAACTGTCAGGAAGGATGCCTTTCACCTTCCATCTTTCCAAGAGGGAGGGACCCACATTTCTATGCAGCCCTTCATTGCAACAGCCCGGCTCACGTGTTTCGTTTTGTTTAAAGCTCAAAGTAAGGAAGCTAAATAAAAAAATATTTAAAGCTATTTTCAACCGAGATATGTGTTATTCATTGTGTGCAGTTTTGTCTGTCGCTTGAATGATGGACAGAGAGGGCACCCTCCCAAAAGGGCAGATGGTCATGGCTAAGGGCAAGATGACTGACTTGAGTCTGATTTGCCAAGAATAGTTAATTCTTGAATGTTGCTTAGAATTTTGTCTTTTTAACAGCAAATTCCATTTTGGAGGGTAACGAGGAAGCCAAAAACAGCCCCAGCATCTAGCTGGGCACCTAGCCTTGACTCTGCTACAGTGGCCTGGGTGGGATATGGTGGCTATGCTCACTGTCACTGCTAGAGCCCAGGGTCAGCATTACCTATTACCACAGGCTTATGGGCAGCTGACACACAGGGGCCTGCATATGGCTGTTGACTACCAAGACAGAGCTTACCTTACCTCTAGCTTTGTGCTCTGCTGTGTCGGGGAGGGAAAGAGAGCCTGTATTCTCCCAGTGATTCAAAGGTCAAAGGCCCTGGGATGATAAGAGACGGTTTCAGGACTCCAAAGGCAGCAGACTTCCAGAACTCTCTAGAACAGTGACTCTTCACCTAATTTTAAAAACTCCAGTTCCAGGGGGATCTGACACCCTCTTCTGGCTTCCATGGGCAGCACATGAACATGGGGCACATGCATGCATGTAGGCAATATACTAATACACGTATACATAAAATAAAAATATAGCCTCAGCCAGGTGTGGCACTCAGGAGACAGAAGCAGGTGGATCTCTGTGAGTTTGAGCCCAGCCTGGTCTACAGAGTGGGTTCCAGGATAGCCAGAGCTACACAGAGAAGTCTCAAATAAATAAAGAAAGGAAGGAAGGAAAAAAGGAAGAAAGAAAGAAAGAAAGAAATATTGACGGGAAGTATTTGGCTCAAGCAAATGATACCTGAATTTATTTTTGAAGGATAGTCTCAGCCAAGCCTAATGGCTCAGGCCTCAAGTGCCAGCTATTAAGGAAACTGAAGCAGGAAGAGGATTCAAAGTTTGAAGCTGGCCTGGGTTAGGGAGCAAAGTCAAGATCAGCCTTAGTAAGATCCTGTTTCAAAGTAAAAAAAAAAAAAAAAACAGAAAGAGCAGCGATAGGGCTTAGTGATACAGCACTTAGCTAGTGTGCTGCATGAGGCTCTGTGGCTCTGCAGTTGACAGCAACTGCTGTTTGTGTTAGATACTTTTTTACTGTGACCAGGGAAACTTATACGGTTTATTTGGGCTGATAGTTCCAGAAGGGAAAGAGTCCTTGATGGCAGCAAGAAGGTTTTTGTCCAGAACACAGACTGAGAATTCACACCGACCAGCAAGCAGGAAGGAGAGAGACAGGGAGAGGGAGAGAGAGGGAGATAGAGAACTCAGAACGACACAAATCTTTTTACGGCCTCCAGTGACATGCTTCCTCCAACAAGACCAGGCCTCTTAAGCCTTCTGAAACAGTGCCACCAACTGGGGGCCACGTATTTAAATGCTGGAGACTATGGAGGATGTCATATTCAAACCATCACAGAGCTCTTTCAGGGGACCAAGAGTCTGGCTGTCGGCACCCAGGTCATGTGACTCACAGCTGCCTGTTAACCCAAGATCCAATGCCTTTTTACCTCCACAGGCACACACTATACATATAAATAAAAGCAAGTGGAAGTAAATGTCAGTCTCAAAGTACGTGACTGACTAAGGGATGATTACTTAATGGTGGTAATCAACACAAATAAATGACAAAGGATGACACAGACGGATCTCAGTAGGTGGGAAAGGCAGGGCTACTCAGGACCCCATACTGTGTACCCCATCTTACAGCACAGGGACCATTTACCCAGAATTCCCAGGTTAGATTCGTGTATCCAACTCCAAGATAGTTAACAGGTGGTTATTTCCCTACTGAAACAATGTGGTCAGGCACTAGGGAAGCTGAGGCAGGAAGACAGCCCAAAGTTCAAGACTAGCTCAGGCTTCAAGTGAGGCCACATTCCAGAAAATATAGTACAAGATATATGCTTCAGAAATCTGGTCCAGCATGCATCAGGCAGTGTTGATTCTTATTGCTAGGAATAACAACAACAAAAACAAAAACACCACAAAAAACACAACAACAACAACAACAAAAAACCCTTCTTTGCTTTGTATTTTTGAGACTGGCTATCCTCGAATTCAGTATGTAGATGAGGGTGACCTTAAACTCCTAATGCCTGTGCCGCCTCCTGTCAATCTGTGAGATGAGACATTACTCCTCCACACAGGAAACTGTCCCTATTTTAAGACCTGCACGCTTAGGTTATGAAGATGTGGCTGATACACACACCACATGACCCAGGAAACAGACCAGAACCCTATGTCCCCTTCCCAGCTCTAAGGAATCTTAAGTTCTGTCAGGGCCCACAGAAATGGCTCCATTTCATCTTGACTTAAGGTCACAGAGTTCAAAACTATCCTTACTCTTCAAAGGTTAAACATAAGACCTAAAGGTCTAAGGCATGGCTACTGTAGGATGTTTGGTCTTAGGTGTGGACGTCGTATCTAAATAATGAGATATTTAGTCTCCAAATGTTTGGAGAATTAACGAAGTCTGTTTCTTCCTCATATTTTGATGAAGAAGTCTTTTGCCATTTCCCCCTTTTTGGCTGGGTTATTTAAGAATGTTGAAGAATAAACTTGAGGCATTCAGTATTCACTGGATTGTCCTCCTGGTTCTATCCTGTGTCTGTCTTTCCCTTACTATTTTTATCTGCCCTTTCTCAATCCACTCCCCCTCCGAGGTACGATCTGCCCAAGTCAGCTGGATCCGACTGAAGCCCCACAAAGACAAGATGGGTTACGACAAAGTCCACAAAGCTACTCACCCAGGAGAGAGTGAGCAACTCATCAGGACCCAATGAGGAGACCACAAAGGCATCTATGAAAACGATGACAACTTTATTAAACAGAAACACTCACAGGATAAAAACTGAACAAACAGCATCAACTCTGAAACCAGGACTCGTGGCCCCACAGAAGCCTATCGCAGGACATGCATGGATCAATTACAGCTGACGGTGCGTCACATGACTAGTGTCCCCACCTACACCTCAGACAGAACTAATGAGGGATCAGTGACCCGTCCCCCATAGTACCTGGTACACAAGGCTTCCCCCTGCCCTTGAGGATGGGGCTTACTTTCTAAATGCTGAGCAGTCAACACAAGACAACTGAGGCCCCACCTCTAGGCCGCTCCAGACCCTCCCCTCAGGATGATGGACATCCTGCTTGACCTGTTACTGAGGACAGGCAAACTCTGGAGCCCTGGGACCTGAGCCCCCTCAGTTCTGTGACTCAGGGGAGGGGGAGCGAAAGCAGGGCAGCTCCCTCAGAGACACAACTTCTACGACAAGGAGCCTCTCCCCTGGCTCCCTGCTCCAGACCTCCGGGGTGTCACTGTGCCAGGGCAGGTACGAGTGCACCTTGAAGCCTCCCTTCTTCAGGCTGCAATCCGCAGGCACCAGCTCCACCCCCAGCTCCGAGGACTCCAAGATGCTCAGCCTCCAGCGCTGCAGGTCCTGCTGTTCCGGTGCATTCTGTAGCTGGGCCACCCTCACCTCACCAGGGTCCAGCAACACCTGCCAGCGTTGGACCCGGGTCCTCACAGCCCAGCAGGGAGTCATTGACAGCAGGTAACAGATGGCATCGAAGCCACCCAACAAGAAGACGAACTTCAGGTCTACCAACCAGGCTTCTGCTTCCAACGGATCCATAGGCCAGGTGGGGCTCAACTCCAACAATACAGGTTGCCCAGGAGATGGGCTCACATTGAAAATATCCCACCAGGACAGAGGGGGGATGAGCCAGTGAGAACAAGGAGAGAGGCCATCAAATCTCCAGGGAAGGGCCTGGGTCCACTCAGCATCCTCGGGGCCCAGGTCCAGGGGTACAGCTTCCTGAGGCCCGAGCTCAGTGGGCACAGGCTGGGGTCCCAGCCCTATCCCTTCTGTGCCTACAGGGCCTGGTGTCAGGATGGCAGGACCAGTAGAGACAGAGGTGCCATGCGGCAGATGCCCTTGGCCCTCTCCCCAGCTGAGCCCTGGCCACTCCTCCGGCTCGGATCCTGCCTCAGAGAGTTCCATGGGCTCAGCACCCCATTCCTCTTCCTCCCAGTCTCCCATCTCCAGCATGTTCTTAACTACCAGGAAAGCTGCCTTGAAGCAAGCAAAGCAGATCTTCATCTGGTCTCCGTGGACAAGCTGGTATAGCCAGGCCGCATAGAGGCAGGACATGCCCTTGGCCCCATGGCGAACGTTGACTGGGGGACACATGGCCAAAAAAAAAAAAAACCTGCCTGAAGCTGATTGGACAGACAGAGGAGGTCAGGTCTACAGGGTCTGGGGACCGTGTGAGGCCAGGGACAGGCAGGAAAAGCCGAGAATGGGAAACCAGGAGAAAATAGGGTGCAGCAGGAGGTTTAGGGCGCTTTGGGCCCCAGGACACGGGGTGGCCGTGTGAGAACTGGGTGCCAAGTCAATGGATACCTCCTTGGAGAGGAGGTCAGCCTTGAGATTCCAGAAACTTCTCCAGCTTCACACTTGCTCCGATGTCCGGGGAACTAGAAAGGCAGAGAACATGAGGCTGCTCACACCACTGAGGGGAGAGTACGGGGGGCTCAGGCCCCGGGGCTCACTGCTCACCTTGAGCCCACTGGGGCTCCCTCCAGCACACCCCAGCCTCAGCGGCCTCCTCGGGGCTCAGGGCCCCAACCTCACACGTGGGCCCCGCCCACCAACTGAAGGAGGAGGAGGAGGCCGGGAGCCTAAAGCAGGATCTCCTCTCTGCCCCCAGCGCTCCCACCCTGACCCCGACCCCCCCAGCTCCCCCCAGTGCAGACCATGCCACCCACCCGGTCCCGGGCACCGCCTGGGCCCCGTCCCATCCTCACCCTCCTCACCGAGCTCCCAGCACGCCTGCTAGTGGACTCGGAACTGAAGCTCGCCTCTCCACAGCATCGCGCCTAATGAGGAGCCAACACCCATGATGCTCCAGCTCATTTACATATCTCCCATCAGCCCCCAAGCGCAGGAAGCCAAGGCGCTGAGTCACCCTGGCCCCCTGATGCACTGCACATGCGTCCTGGCGGCCCCTCACAGGGCGCATGCGCCACTCCCTTCCTGCACACACGTGCCCCTCTGCCTCCTGGATGCTGCCTTGAGGTGCCCTGTGTCCCCAGGTCACTGTCGCCTCAGGGGACGCGAAGGCCTGGGCCTGGGCTTGCGGCTTATCTCGTTAGGGACAGAAGATGCCTTCCTCCCTGTGTCTTTAGTAAAAGTCCTTTGAAACCGCCAGCTCGGCCCTCAGCCGCGTTTCAAACCCATCTCCCCCTCTCTGGGTCTTTTCGTTCTCAAACAGACTCTAAAGGATTCTTTGTAGGGTTTATTTCTAGACGGGTTTGGGACGCGGAGAGAAACCAAGCAGAAGATACAAGGTTTCCAGTGGGCTCTCTCCTGCCGGAGCTCAGCCTTCTGTGCACAGAGATGTGTTTGTTAAACCCCCGCGAGCTGCACTACCGATGTTATCTCCTAAAGTAGGTGCTCGCAGCCCGATCCGGACATCCCACGGGTTTGGACACGGTGTGACGGCCTGCCCCTGCCACCACGGCCACGGGGAGCAGTTCCACCCTCTCTGCAGACGCCCCTGGCACCCTGCCCTCCCCAGGCCCTCGACTCACTGACATGACCTCGGCAACTACTCTGTCCTATCCAGAATGTCACACGGCTGGCCTCAAGCAACAAGAAACTTATCTCAGGTTCCTTCCTTGGGAACACATGGCTGGGTTTTCTGGGTTCCCCGGGGTAGTAGGAAACAAGTTTCACTTCAGGGCTCAGTAATTCTCCATTATCTGGATGTACCCCTGTTTATCCACTTCTTACTTCTTGGGGTTTGGTAGATATATGTATGTATGTATTGTATGTATGTATGTATGTATGTATTACATATATATGTATTACATATATATATACATATATATATATATGCTATAACCAACTTTGTGCTGGTTTTCTGAACTTAAGTTTTTGTCTCATCTGAACACAAATGCTGCGTGAAAACTGGCATATTTCGCAATCAACACTCTTCCTTCAGGATCAAATGGAGGCTGGAGCTCCATAATTTGCAAGGCGTGACAAAAACAACTTGTAGTGGATGGCCAAAAAAACAAAAAAAAAAAACACGAAAAAGTAATTTATCATAGTTCTGGAAACTTCAAGCTAGAATACAATCTTGAGCAGAGTTACATCATGGTCAGACATCCTTTCCCTCCCACTTCCTTTGTCTGAAAGGGGGCGGGGTTTCTGAGCAATCTTTAAAAGGCAGCTAGGTTGAAGAATGGTAGAGGTCTTTCCTAACACATTCGGTCCCCAGCCCCTCAAAAAAAGCAAAATCATAGCAGGGCAGTGGTGGCACATGAGACACAGGAAGAAGGATCTCTGTGAGTTCAAGGCCAGCCTAGTCTACAGAGTGAGTTCCAGGATAGCCGGAACTACACAGTGAAACCGTGTCTCAAAAAACAAAACACAACAACAACAACAAAAAGTTGCAAAATCGCAGAAATATACTAATCCCATTTATAAGAGCCTAGCCTTCCCAGCCTATTAACCTCTGCAAGGTCCCATTGCCTACCACATTCGCTTAAGGGTTAGGATTTCACTAGATTGGAAACAGGTGTATCTCAAACCTTCAGACCTCAGCACACATTTGCAGATTTCTATATGTTTGTTAAGTTTGAGTATCTTCTTTGGTGAGGTGTATGGGTTTTTAGAGGTTTTGCCAATTTTTTAAATTGATCTGTCTTACTGTTGAGCTTAAAAGTTCTTTGTATAAGGCTGGGTGGTGGTGGTGCACACCTTTAATCCCAGCACTGAGGAAGCAGAGGCAGAAGTATCTATCTCTGTGAGTTCAAGGCTAACCTGGTCTACAGAGTGAGTTCCAGAACAGCCGAGGCTACACAGAGAAACCCTGTCTCAAAAAACAAAACAAAACAAAAAAAAAAAAAACTTCTTTGTATGTTTTCAACAATCCTTTGCATCATATATGTGTGCAGACTTTTGCTTCTGGGTTACAAGATGTTCATGAAGGCACAACTGTCCTAGTCATTCGATTGCTTGAAGAGACAGCATTACCTGGGCAACCTGTTAAAGAAAACATTAAATGGGGGCTTGCTTACAGTTTCATAGGCTTGGTCTGTATCATAATGATGGGGAGCACTCATGATGTCAGAGCAGTAGCTGAGGGCTGTGTCCTCATCTGCGGGGGGGGGGGGGATCCTGGCCCTGGCATGGCTTTTTGTTTGTTTGTTTGTTTGTTTTTATTTTTCCAGTCAGTGTTTCTCTGTATTGTTTTCGAGCCGGCCCTGGCACTCACTCTGTAGACCAGGCTAGCCTCAAACTTACAGAAATCCACCTGCCTCTGCCTCCTGAGTGCTGGGATTAAAGGTGTGTGCCACCATTAAAAGCCTGGCATGGCTTTTAAAACTCAAATCCTACCTAAGTAACACACTTTCTCCAATAAGGTCACACATCTTAATTCTTCTGATCCTTCTCAAATAGTGCCACTTCTGATGACTAAGCATTTGATATGTGCACTTATGGTGGCCAGTCTTATCAAGCCACCACTGTAACTCACCTACTGGAGAGATGGTTCAGTCATGGGAGCCCTGGGAACTGATTCCTGACGCCCAGAACCCACACAAAAGCTGGAGTAGGGTATGCATCTGTCATCCGTGTGTTCCGACACGGACAGGAAACATCCAGAAGCTGTTGGGACAGCTAACCTAGCAGCAGTGAACAAGAGAGACCCTGTGTCAAACAAAACAGAAGGTGAGTGGGAATGAGAAACGGGTTATTCTGGAGCCAGAGATGAGTGACTGTGGCCCTGGAACACAAATTTAAGTTGCCCCTGTTCTGTGGTCCAGTATGGTAATAGTTACATAAATTGTTTATAGTAACGGAACAATGGCAGTTCCACGCTGTCAGATAGGTGAATTACAATATGGTGGAGAAATCTCTGCTGCAGGCTTCTGAAGCTATCTGAGGACATCCTCGGATTGATGAAAGTTAGGGGTCTATTCATACACTACAAATCTATTATCCACAAAGTTAATCACAGGCAGAGTTGGGTGACGGATGGCCATTGAAGAGGCTGAGTTAGCCCAAGGTATTTGGCCTGCGATGTTCTAACCACCTCAGAATCCCTGGAGTTCCAGTTGTGCAAGGTTCAGTGGAGGTGTGGCTTCCGTTTGAAAACAGTACTTCTCAGTTTCCTGTCTGTCAAGCATCACCTTCTGTGCATATGGAGGGCCAAATGTTATTGCAAATGTTTTTCCAAGTCCCGACTTGCCAGGATGGCTCGCTCATTCCTAGGCTCTGATGTAGATGAGGCTGAGGAAATAGCAAAGCTGTTTTTGGAAGAGTAACTGAGGAAGTCACAATGAGTGCCTGGAACTGAGCTCCAAGCCTCTGAAAAAATAGAAGTCACCTGTGAGCCATCTCTTTGGTACACCCCATTATGTGTTTTGTTTTTTGAGACAGGGTTTCTCTGTATTGTTTTGGAACCTGTCCTGGAACTAGCTCTGTAGACCAGGCTGGCCTTGAACTCACAGAGATCCGCCTGCCTCTGTCTCCCGAGTGCTGGCAGTAAAGGCATGTGCCACCAACGCCCGCCTTCCATTAGGTAAATTTTTTAAGATGGGAAAACGTTAATAGATTAGTCGAAAGATTCCATATTTATTATGAATTGCATGGTTGTTTATTTTCATAAAGTAGAATCTTTTTTTTAAAAAATTTCTTTATTGACTCTGGGAGTTTCACATCATCCACCCCAATTCTGCCCATCTCCCGGTCCCCCCATCATCCCTGCCACCCCCCCAAAGAAAACAAAATAAAGCAAGCAAACAAATAGGGAAAAAAAAAACCTCTTTTCTTCTCCTTCTTTTCTGCCTCTTCAATACCTCTCCATCTGTCCTGGTGGCATTGGAGGCTTTGATGTGCCATATACTATACCCTATGTCCCATCAGATTCACTGGCAAATGCTGATTGCAATGAGTCACTGGTCTGGTTCCAGGCCTCTGGCTGCTGGTACACCATCCTCACTGGATCCTCACCTGAATTCCTCGGGGATATCCTGCGGCTGTCCTGAGTCTTAGAGATCTTGCAGATATCGTCCCACAGGACCAGCCCCTTCACTAGCTCCAGCAGGTCCTAAATGGGGTAAATGCTAGGATCTGGCTGGTAGCCAAGCTGGTCAATCCTGGCCACTGGGGCCATCAGCCTCCAGGAAAGGGGT